ATCAAGGCCCAGGTGAGTTTATATACCATACATTTATAGTGGATAAAGTCAACTTGATTTTGTACTTTTCCCAGTGATACTCAGCAGCCCAGAAAGAAGAGTGGGGAAATCAGATGGTAGGTCTCCAGTTGGAGGAATGAGCAGGTTGGGCAGGATGAAAGATACGTGGGTAGTACAGGTGAAGGTGAAATATTCTGGAGGTTGTGGTTAGTAGCACCATGGACTTAGATCTAAGAGTGAAATTAAAGTAAGGGAGATAGATTGGAAGAATAAGGAAGGGTCAAAGGCCATGATAAGGGCAAGTAGCAGAGTTAGTGGGAGGTGTGACAGGATAGGAAGTAGTGGTCAGATAGTAGAATTTTAGAGTTCAGGATCTTGGAGTTGGTTCCATTTTATGATATGGTGACATGTGAGATGTTGCCATGCTAATGCATGGATGAATTGGGCTTGAAGAAGAGGTGAATGGAATTGAAGATGTTAAATTTATGGTTAGAACATTAGAGGAGCCATCAATATGAATATTAAAGTACTCTGCATAACCTCATTATTAAAGGTCATACCATAAAAAAAATTAGAACAGGACCATATCGTGCATTTTACTCAGCTATGGCTAGGGAGTGACCTAACCAAATAAGAGCTAGAGGTGATTTCCAAAGATAAAACAGACAATTTCAATTATAAGAAAGTGAAGTTTTTGTGGACTGATTGATATTGTCCTAATTAATGTATTCCACAAACAAAAAATTAATTCAAGTAGGACAAGAAGGGAGATGGTCAACTGGGAAAAATCTTTACATCAAATCTCTGTGATGATATATAGGCAAAGAAATATCTGAGACTAAAAGCCATCTCCTAATAGAGGTATTCAAAGGATATTAATAAAGAATACTAACAACTATATCAAAGAATGCTCCAAATCACTAATAACATGACAAATGCATAACACCTCTAAGGTCTGGCCTCACATTTAGCAGATTTGCAATAATGATAAAAGAAGAACATTGTCAATGTTGGAAGGATTGTGGAAAGATGGGCACACTAATTATTGGCAAGCTGTGAATTGGTCCAACCATTTTGGAAAGCAATTTGAAATTGTGTGAAGAAAGTGATTAAAATGTCCATGCCTGTTTAACCATCCATTTCACTCCTAAACTTGTACTATAAGTAGGTCAATGATGACAAGTCTCATATTCTCCAAGTAGTCATAGAAACACTTTTTTGTAATAGTAAAGAACTAGAAACAAAATAGATGTCCATTGATTGAGGAATGGCTAGTTAAGTTGTGGTACATGAATGTAATGGAATAACTATGTTATGAGAAACAATTTATTTGACAAATACAGAGTATAGGAAGACATATTAAATGATACAAAGTGAAGTAAGCAGAACCAGGCAAACAGTATATATAACAAAAATACAAATGGAAAGAATAGTAGAACATTTGAAACAAGTTGTGGTATATGATTGTGATGGAATACTACCGTGCTATAAGAAATGATGAGCTCGATGATCTTAGAAAAACATGGATAGACTTGCACAAAATAATGAAAAGTGAAATGAGCAGAACCAAGAGAACATTGTTTTAATAGCAATATTGTTTTAAGAACAACTTTGAGTGAATAAGGCATTTTGATTATCATAAATGCCTAAATTAACTGCAAAGGATATATAAAGGAAGATGCTATCTGCCAGAGAAACTAAATGCTGTGAAATTATGATTAAATATGGCTCCAAAGAAGAGATATGAGAATGTACCTCACTCCCTTCTTGGTAGAGGTAGGGAATTATGGGTGTGGAACAGTACAGATAATGTCAGACTTGTTCCATGTGTTGGGTAGTTTTGCTGAAATGTTTTGTTTTTTGTTATAAGACATAGTTTTCTGGGAGGAAGAGAAGACACTGAGAACTAAAAGAAATGTAAAAACAGAAGATATCAATGATAATTTATTTAAAAAAAAACTGCAGTCTTTAAGGGGTAGAGAGGAGAGGAAAACCATAACCAGGGTGTTAATTGAGGAAACTGGAAATCCAGAAAGTCAGTGCATGATCACAATCAGGATAGGGACAAGGTTCCAATACATTGTATGATTTGATGTGGCATGCTCAGCCATCCTACTGTATTTGCTCCACAAGCATTCCAGTTCCTGTTGTCCTTTGTTATTACAAAAAGTGGTGTTGTGAATATTTTTGTATATATACGAATTTTTTTTTTCTTTTTTTGAACTCCTTGGGTTACAGACATTTTAGTCACTCCCCCCACCCCATTGTAATTCCACTCCCCTGCCCCCACAATGGTTGGACCAATTGTGCCCACCAGTGTTGTATCAGTGTATCTGCATTACTTTAGCCTCCCCAAACTTGATTATTTCCATCTTTTGTCATTTTTGCCAGATTTCTAGGTGTGAAGTGAATATAGTTTAAAATAAACCTCAGAAAGCCAGAGGGGAAGATGCAGACACAAAACTGTGGGGATGGCTAGCTATTGTGGGATTTCATAAAACCGAAACTTTAAAATCTTCTAGTATATTCTTCAGAGACAAGCTATAATAACACTTTCAAATCTTAGCTCTGTTTTATTTACACCAGGGATCCCAAGACCAAAGCTACAAATCTCAGAATATCTAGTTTCAGCTTATAACTTCACAGTAGTTGCAAGCACTCCCATAATTCTAGCAGCACATTTCAAAAACATTGCAAATCTAGTATTCATAGTTCCTTCTCATTTTACACACAAATATTGCATGAGTGCCTTAACAAACCGAAAGCTGTGTCAAATCTAGTCCATAATACAATGTGATTGCCATGTCTATGGAGGCTGAAAAAAACATACATGACCCATCATTTGGCTGGTACTATTTATGAAAATACATGGACATGTCTCTCGTATATCTCTTCCAAGAGTCACATGAATTTGGGATCTTTTGGCTTTAGTAATAATGTGCCTTGGAATATTATACTCAGTAGCTCTTTTTCTCAGAGATTTCATAAGGTGGAAGCCTTTTAAGATTCTTCAAATTAGTTTGGAAACTTTTATATGGCAAATTACAATCCATATCTCAATTATATCCAAATGCTTTTTTTTTCTGAAGGAGGTGGTCACTATTCCATGAAAGGAATAATAATAATAATAATAACAATAATAATAATAATACTTTAAAATTACTACTCTGAACTTGTATGGCAAAATAAACTGCTGGTTAGTAGCTTTGTGTGGGTGTGTTTGTGACAAATCTTTTCTAGGTTACCCTTTTTCTTGATTAGGTATATATGTATTCCAGTCTTACCGACCTCTCTTGTTGGATGGGTCAACACACCGACTGTGCCATTTCTTAGGTAGGAGACACAGGAGGGCTTCTAGCACCTCTCTCCCTAGCAAGTTTGCTTTTGATCCAGTCAGACAGGAAGACAGGAATGGAGTCATAATAAGGGGTTAAATAAACTTACTTCATTCTAATCTAGTCTTCTCAAAGGGAGTTTGCTGATAATGGGAGCATCAACTCCTACAGCATTCCCTAACAACCCTTCTCGAAGGGGCTGGCATGAAAGGGGGGTAATAACCCCTCCATCTTGATGGGGTCAATGGAGACAGGCACAACTTGTGCACTCCCTTAAATCTGATCAAGGTGCACAGCATTCCAGTTTGTGCATTCACCCCTAAGGGTGTCCCCACTCATTGACCAGTGACCACTTGCTTTATAGGGCAACAGACGAAGAAAACAAATTGCCAGCAATAGACTCACAATTTTACATTACTTCATCCTTTATATCTACTGCAACTGTGCAGCAGAAACTTTTCAACCATGATCGTGAGAACTCATATCTAACACCTGGAAATTAGAGATTGTTATGGCTATGGATCCTGGGAAAGAAGACTCAAGACAGAATAACAAAAATCAATCCTACACTCACTAAAATTCACCTTACTTATACCTCTCAATAGGGTTTTAAAATAAAAAAAACAACAACTAATTATCCATCTAAAATTTGAACAGTTTGTTCCTTCTATCATTTATTTTCAAAGTTCAATGGCAATTTCAATGCTATTACCCAAATTATACACATGATGTTTCTGTATTTCTCCCAAAATTTCCAGTTCTTGGCAGATGCAGTCACAATTTCACCACAGAAAATATAAAATTCAATGTGAATTTTTCTTGAATACATAAGAACCCTTAACTTTACTCTATCAATAATAATTTATCCAATTATGATAGAAATTTTAATTTCATCAATTATAAAATGTCATATTTGGGTCACGTCAACATTCAATTTCTATCCTATTATAGTTTGAAGTTTTATCTACCTATCCACACAGGGAAAAGAAAGTGGATGAAGAATGTCTACTGTGTAGACTATGACACACAGTTAGACAGACGACTCAGAACTATAGAACATATATATGTTTTGGATGGATGCTGTAAATAGTTAATGATTTGGGTCTAGGGTGGGGAACTTGCAGCCTTGAGGCCACATGTAGCCTTCTAGGTCCTTGGGTGCAGCCTTTTGACTGAGTCCAAGTTTTACAGAACAAATCCTTTTATTAAGGGGATTTGTTCTGTGAAAGGTTTTTTGGGCAGTTTCTGAGGCCCCTTTCAATCCTCAAGCTATGACCTTAGGTCAGCTAACACTCTCTAACATGAACTTCCATAAATGTCTAGTACTGAATTTAAAGAACCCTTGACTCCATTTTCTAGATTCGCCTGTATGTTGAAAGTGGTTAGAAAAAGAGACAATATTCTAAACCAAACTAACACCAATGAACATAAGTTTGTATAGCCTGGGGCACATTTAAAAACACAGTCCAATTTAACAATGTAAATAAAAACTTTTAAAACATTTACATGCCTAAGGGACAGTGGTGGATCCTATAGATGACAAAGCAGTTCAGCTAATTTTCTTGAATCAAAACTAGGTTTTCTAGAAGTTTTATTTTGCTTATCTTGGTGCCCTTCCATTCCTCTCTACAATCCCCTATAAGCAGTGGTTGGGATAGAGATTACCTTTTTCTTCTCCTATTTCTCTGTTTCCTCTTCCTTCAATTGCCTTGCATTCAGCCTCCCCTCTCTCTCCTCTGCACATGGAAGGTAGATTATTTTCTCACCGTGGATGTAAAGTTTCTTCCTCTCCTGTAAAAGAAGTCAGGCTAGCCCATGGCCTTTACTTCCTTTCAATTCAATCTTCCAATCCATGATGGGCAATTCCTTTCTGGTCGTTGCTTATGAACCGAGAAATTTGTTTTGGCAACCCTCTTCTGATACAACACATGTTAACCACAAAGAGCAATGCTCAGGTTTGAATTATGAAGTGTAGTGACTCACCTGAGGATGTTTAATGAAAGAAACACAGATCAGGTGGAAATCAGTAGCTACAAGATTCCTTCCAACTGAAGCATCCTTGAAGTAGCAGCCTCATTCAGCACAGCTGGCCAAGCTCCAATTCCTATCTTCTAGAGTGGACTTTGGACCTCACTCATCAAATGTACAGGACAATAATCAAGATATCATCTATTGGCTCAGCACTGAGCCAACCCACTCTTCTTTGGAGCTAAAGTTTCTTTTCCCAATGTTTCAGAAAAGGCTGAACAGAAAAATTCTAGCAGCAATCTCCTGATTGCTATCATTTCTTTAAACAGCCTCATTCAAGATGCCTTATATGACCTTTGGCTGAAGTCTTATGTAAATAGTTGTATAAGATTCTTCATTGGTGGAGACTGAGTGATTATTCATGCCCCACACCTGTGCGATAGGCAGCATTGGTAAGAACTCGAGAGAAGAGAGATCCTGGTCCTCAGGCTTTAAGAAACAAGACAAAGTTACATTGAGGTCCTTGAGGGACAGAAAAACCCTGGGGCTTCCCTCACACAGACATGGACCATTGAGTAATCAATCTCCACTAAGGAGGGGAGTCTTATACAAAAGGCTCTGAGGGGAGGAGGCAGGGCTGGGAGAAACTTGAGACTATTCCTGTCTCTGGGAAGGGGCTAATTCTTGTGAAACAGAAATTTAAGCTGCAAACAAAAATTAAAGACAGGAATACATGACAATCACAGGACCATAGATTTAGAGCTGGAAGAGACTTTATTGTTGGTGTCGGGTCGTTTCAGTTGTGTCTGACTCTTCATGACCCCAGTTGGGATTTTCTTGACAAAGATACTGGAGTGATTTGCCATTTCTTTCTCCAGCTCATTTTATAGATGAGGAAACCGAGGCAAATGGGGTGAAGTGACTTGCTCAGGATCACACAGCTAGTGTCTGAGGCCAGACTTGAACTTAGGAAGATGAGTCTTCCTGACTCCAGCCCTGGTACTGGATCCACTGCATCTCCCAGAAGAGACTTTAGAAGCCATCAGATCCAATCCCTTTATTTTACAGATGAGGAAAGTGAGACACAGAGGTTAAATTATGTGACCTGTATCACATAGCTAGGAAGCATGTGTATGTGTAAAATCTGAACCCAGATCTTTCTGGCTATTAGACCAGTGTCCTACCACACTACCTCTCATATAGGTAGTCAATGGAACCAGCCAGTTATGCAAATCCTGTCCTCAAGAGACTCAGTTTCCTCATCTGTAAAATGAAAGGGCTGGAGTAAATGATCTTTCAGGTCCCCTCCAGCTTTAAATATGGGATTTCTATAATCTACTTAAGATATCCAAAGTAATTAGCCAGTACTGTATGACAGAGTTTAGACAAAGTGCTACATTGAATGTAGTCAAGGTTTCAAACTACAAGGTGGTTATGAAATTGAGAGGCCTTAAGTGAAAGTAGGTCTCAAGGTCAAATCAATAATCTTGATAAATTGTTGTAGTCCCTGAATGATTAGCCCCTGAAGTTGCGATGGATGTTAAATTTCCTTAGACTTTACCTTCCCTTTGAAGGGGTTGTTGCACAGGAAACAGGTGAGGCTAGAACAGTATGGACATCTCAAGTCAAGGTATGTCAGGGCAAAGGGCCTTCTAAGGAGCTACTGAGGTCCTTTGTTGGTTTTGATTTGTCCAGGACACAGGACCATATGGTTCAGTAAATTGCTTCCATGTTCTTTGGCACAAGGGGAGATCAGTCAAAGTGTGTGTATCTCATCCAGTTAGTATTCTTGAGGCTGAGGGTAATTGTTAAGTGTTATTTGGGTAATTGTTGTTGTTTGTCCTTCGTTCTCCAAGAGGACCATGACAACAGGGAGGTGATGCCATGACAGGCAAGTGAATTGGATTTAAGTGAAAGAGGTCTGTGCAAAGTCACCAGCCTCACTTTCTCTTCAGGAGCCATCTGGGTCCAGTGGTGAGATGTAGATCAGGATGACTGGAGATGGCCCTCATTTGGGTAATTAGGCTAAATTACAAGTCCCTCAAGAAAAGCGGATCCTGTCAGTGAAGACAGAGGGAACAGGGACAGCCAGGTATGTCTCATACCTTGACAACCCTTCCCCTCCCTTCCAACCCTTGCTAATCTAACTTATGACCCCACAAGGAGCTATACTTTTCTTACTCACCAACCTGGAGATGAATTCTGACGTAAGAGAATGGGGCTGATGGGGTGGAGGAAACCAAGAGGTGGAACTGAAGTGGCTGTGTCATTTTCCAATTGCTGGTGCCTCCCAGGGAGTCACTCAGCTCCAAACTGGGGCAGGAGGAGTGTTGTCTTATGACTGGTTAAAAAGCCAAGCCAAGCTGGGCAGTCCTCTAGTGCATTAAAGTGCTTGAGGAAGACTGACCCCCCCAATCTTGATAAATGGTGGCTTTTCTGAGAGTCTCTGGGAAGTGAAAAATGTACTCTTTCCTTCCCTTCCTCTAACTGCATTCATTGTCCTATCATTTTTGCAGAAGCTCCAATCTTCTTTCCGCCTCCCAACTCTCCTCCATTTACATTTAGATAGTTCAAAGCCTGTGGTTTCAAATCAGACACTTGGCAGATATGACTGTCAGGTTAGGGCCACTGTGTCAATTTCCTTTCTGAGCAACAATCTTAGATCTTTATAGAGGCAGTGTCCATCGTAGGGGAAATGAGAGCCTTGTTGTATTCTGCCCTTGTCAAACATAGCTGCGGTATTGTGTTCAGTTCTGGGTGCCACATTTTTGGAAGAACATTGAGAAACTGGAATGAACTCAGGAAAGAGTGACGAGGGTGATTAAAGGCTGGTGGAGGGATGGGATATGCTTAACACGAAGGAGAGAAGACTTGAGGAGAATGTATCTGCTAGCTAGCTGTTTGGGGGTATTTGAAGGGATGTCAGGTAGAAGAGAGGTAAGATATACTCTATCTAGATTCATAGGGAAAAGCTAAGGCTAGTGGGGGGAGAGGAAGAGAAAGGAAAGGAGCTACATGGACACAGATTTCATTGTGTGACATTGGGCAAGTCATCTAAGCCTCAATTTCCTTATCTGTAGACAAGCTGAGGATAAGAATAGCACTTACCTCATAGGGTTGTTGTGAAGATCAAATGAGGTAATTTCTGTAAAACATTTTACAAAGTTTAAAGTGCTATATAAATGTGAGTTGTGACCATGATCATTGTAACCATCATCTTAATATAGAAAGGAGATTCCTATCTATTAAAGCTAATAAGTGGTTACCCAGCCTTTGAAGACAGGGATGGGGAGCTCACTACCTCCCAAAGGAAGCCCTCTTTGTATTGGGCCAGCTCTAATAGCTAGGAGTTTTCTTATGCTGAAATAATGTTTACAATGATAATGACCACGGTGACTGTGACAGCTCACATTTATATAGCACATTTGTTGTTGTTGAGTTGTTTCAGTCATCTCTGACTCTTCATGACCCCATTTTGGGGTTTTCTTGGCAAAGATACTGGGATGGTTTGCCATTTCCTTCCCTAGCTCATTTTACAGATGAGGAAATTGAGGCAAACAGGGTTAAATGACTTGTTCAGGGTCACATAGCTAGGAACTGTCTGAGGCCAGATTTGAACTCAGGAAGATGCCAGTGCTCTATCTACTGTGCCATCTACTTGCCCCATATAGCTCATTAAAGTTTACAAAATATGTTGCATAAATTATCTTTTTTTTTTTTTTTAAGGCAATCAGGATTAAGTGACTTGCCCAGAGTCATATAGCTAGTAAGTGTCTGAGGCTGGATTTGAACTTAGGTCCTCCTGACTCCAGGGCCAATACTCTATCTACTGCACCACCTAGCTGCCCCACAAATTATCATATTTGATCCTTACAACAACCCTGAGAGATTAAATACTACTCTTATCCCTGTGTTACAGATAAGTAAACTGAGGCTTAGTGAAATTAAGTGACTTGTCTAGGATTTAAACTTAGGTCTTCCTGACTCTACGTGCTATCCATTGTTTCACCCACCTGCCTAAAAACATAGCCATTAGTGGAAAAAAAAATTATAAAAGATTCTATGAGTCATTCAGGTGAGTCCTGGACACTTAATCAAAGTGAAAAAAATCTTCATTCTCTAAGCCCACCATACTTAGCAGAGGGATTGGGATTGGATCTCAGCCAAGAATAGGCCAATCGCTCTTCATTGTGTGGCAGAAAGAATTACATACATAGTGGGATGCTATCTGAGAGTTAAAGTAAGAAACAGCAGATTTCCCCTTCTATTCCCTCCTCCCCTGCTCAGGGAGGGCCAGCCTTGAAATGGAAAAATGTTAACAATTGCATTGCCTTCTGGTCCCGAGAGTTTCTAACCAATTTAAGCCAAGTACTCAGGGAAGAATGTTTGTGTGTAAGGAGGAGCATGTGGGTAACAAGGAAACAGCGCGTGAGAGCAACACAGGGGAGGAGAGAGATGGACAGAGAGAAAGAACATGAAAAAGGGAGCATTTGGAGGTAAGAGAGTCTGACTCACTTGGAACGTGGACGGTGTGAATGAAATTGAGGCAAGCTGCTCGAGTTGCCTTTCTACCTCCCCATCTCCCCTAAGGAAATCTTGCTGTCTACTTCACACAATACAATAAAGTTGAAAGATAGAAGAAGAAGAGTTCCAGAAGTCAATCAATCACACTGCCTCGGAGAGTGGAAAGTTGGGTAGAAAAATATCATCCTGGCCTGGATCATCTCTAGAGCAATGGCTGGGAGAGCATGGGCCTGTGCATTCCCCATGCTTCCCTTACACAGGCAGGCTGCAACTTCTAAGCCCTGGTTAGGGAAAGCTGTGCATGCCAATGCATTAATCCTAAGGCCCAGCAGGGCTGGGGAACC